CTTCTCAACTGCTTAGAGCTTCTCATGGACTCTTAATTATTTGAGCTTTAAAAAATATTTTCCTTTTAACTTGTGAGGCAAATATGCCTTTTTTACACTTGAATGAAATACATATGCACTATATCAGAGGGATAGCCATGTTAGTCTGGATCTGTAAAAGGTAACAGAGAGTCCTGTGGCACCTTTAAGACTAACAGATGTATTGGAGCATAAGCTTTTGTGGGTGAATACCCACTTCATCAGATGCATGTAATGGAAATTTCCAGAGGCAGGTATAAATATGCAGGCAATATGCACTATAGATATTTTTACTTTGTTGTGCATTTTTAGAATTATAACAATAACATTTTACACTATTAAGTGATTTCACTCAGTGAACTTTGCTGCAGCTATTCAGTAATGCTCTCACACATGCACTGGGGGTCTGTGATGGGGTGTGTATCCTACACAGACCCTGAAGAGGTTAAGGTAGACATGAGAGGCCAATTAACATATTTGGCAGCACCTGTCAGAGAAAGCCAAGGAGCCTGGCTTAATTGATGAAGCCCAGCTGAGGAGAGGTTAGGTGGTGATCATAAAGCCTGGAAGTTTGTAGCAGAAAAATGTTGTAGGAAGAGAGTCTGTAGCCAAGGGTGCTATTGGGAGCTACCTGCCTGCCTGCTACCATCCTGGTTTCCTACAGGATATCTATTGGTGGCAAGTGTGCTAGCCCCAGGTAGAATACTTAACTGCAGCACATTCTGAGGGCTAGTCTACATTGGCAATGCTAAAGCACCCTCTGGCAGATTAGAAGCTAATTTCTAAATTATTCTCTGCAAAAAAATAGTTTCAGGTACCTAAATAGCCCTTGGAATCATGCCACTATCTGTATTCACCTTCTAGGGTAATAGAAGTAAGATGTGGTTTAGGGTGATAGTAAGAAATCTGAGGGAGTAGACCTTAGTTGCCAGCTTCAGGATCCCTGGGCTGGAACCCTATGTAGAGGGTGGGCCTGGGTTCCCCTACTAGCCATTGAGGAAGATGGGGTGAAACCCTCTCAGGCAAGGGGGATAAGGCCCATGGAGCCCAAAGACAGATGGAAAAACTGCTGTAAAGTCATTAGATTATTATAGTTTGGCTGGATTCTACTACCCTGGAAGGGGTGGACTAAAGTGGAACCCAGCCAGAGGGGCCAAGTCATGGGAAGAGATACCACTGCAGCAATAGCGTGACTCTTGGCAAGGGGTGCCACATGGGGAGACAGCCACTACACCATGCCTAGTTACAAAGTGAATGACCCCTTTATAAGGCCCTTGCTGCATAATTTAGATCGAATGTGGCATATAGTCCAAAGAGTCTTTGTAAAAGCTCTACTGCACAAAAACTAACAAATTCAGAATTGAGGTTCCAAAAACAATCTTAACTTTGTTTCATACACAACCATTGACAATAGGACCTTTTTTATGTGATCACACAACGTACATAGACAGATACAAAAGCATATATGTAGATACATTTAATGTTTACAAAACTTTAACAAACAAACATCAATACTATACAATTAAATTTGAGACAAAAATTGTCCCAAACTCTTTAATTCTGGATGCCTAATATTAGCTCCAAAATCCATATTCAGATTACTAAATAATAGCGCTTTTCAGAAGTGCTGAGCATCTGCATCTCCAGCTGAGTTCAGTGCAAGCTGCAAGTATTCAGCACTTCTGAAAATCAGGCCATTTTTATTTAGAAGTTTAACTTTAATCACTCAGGTTTGAAAACTTTGGCCCTAACTTTCCTTCTGGTATACTATATAGCATTATTTACCACGTAATATGAATTATATTCCTCAGGGTTCTGTGGTCAGGTAATGAAAGACCATATTATTATGCATATAGTGGCAAAACTATAGCTGTGAGAACACTAACTGCATTTCAATTACATTTCAGTGTTGCATTAAATTCATGGTTTTGCACTTAATTATTTAAAATGGAGTGTTTACAAACAGTAGGCAACTCCCTCTCCATTGTGAAACTATTTGTAGGTTTTGTTATCTTTTATTCTAACTTACATCAGGGGTTAGGACCAAAATACAGGAGCCAGAAAGATGGCTTTAAGTCACTTTTACCCCACACACTCTCTTGTTGCATTAAGCATAGCTCAATTAGAACAGAGAATCTGTCTGTCTCTTAACTCCTGTTTGTTACTACTGTGACAGATATGGCAACTTCCTGCAATATCCTGTATAAACCTTATTGAATTATGTTTAAGTATTTTAGGAGTTCATTGTATAAAAAATACAAATGTTTATGTAGTTTGCTGGGATTGTATATAATGTGTCTATGGAGGAGACCTGACTAACATAAACCTTGAAGGGTTATGTGCTTCAAAGGATAGCTTGAAACACACTTAAAAGTTAAGTGGGTTTCCCAGGAAATCTCTAGGGGGAAGTGTATACAAATATAATTCCTTTGGTTATGCAAGAACTCAGCCTTTTGAACCTTTAGCTGGAGGAGAGGACATTTTGTCTGCTGATCACCTGTTACATATTATAGATCAAAGCCCCAAATTGTATAAAGAAGTGATTCACAGATTCATGGGTGTGCTTGTTACAAACTTCTACCAGCAGAAAAACTCCTTGGTGGGGTTTGAAGGACTGTTTATCTGCTTGATCTCTTGTTGGAGTTCGGGTGATCACATGATTAGCATGTGTGTATGTTGCCTTATTGTTTGTAATATTGTCTGGGTAATGCTTTCACCTTAAGAATAAATGTTCTTGCTTAGAAAGAACTGTCTGGTAACGTAACTGGGAGAAATTATGCTGTTTATAGCCTCTGAGAAAGGCAAAGCAGGCCTCCTGAGACAATCTGTCTTGCTGGGAAATTCAGTGTAGGCAGGGAACTGTGCAGCCTAGAAAAACCCTGATCAGGAGCGGGACAGAGACATCAGTCTCCACCTGAAAGAGGTGATGGCCAGGGGGCTAGAAATCTAAGCATGGGTGTGCTTGCTGGACCACAGTGGAGAAATATAGGCACAGTTGCCCTGAACTGTGACAACTACTAAAAGGAAAAGAGATTTCATATACTTACAAAATCAGGAAATTCTCAGGTTTCTCCCTAGATATCGCTGTGTAGCTGCATGTAGTGATGTCACCAGTGATGCAGTACTTTCTAAATTGTTGCAAGAGAGGATTGCTGATTCATTGCTTGTTTGATTAAAACTGAACCATGCCGTTCAGGGCAACTGTACCTGTATTCCTCCACTATGGGTATGTCTACATTACAAAATTAGGTTGATTTTATTTAAGTCGACATTGAGCCTCTGATTTAAGCAAGTCAATTCTGCATGTCCTCACTACACTCATTGTATTGGCGGAGGGCCTCCTCATTACCAGGGCTTGCATCAACTCACGGAGTGCTGCACTGTGGGTAGCTATCCCACAGTGCATAGAGCCAAGTGGAATGATGGGCTGGGCTTGCTTGGGATCAAAACATTTGCGTGGGTGGCTATGGGAACATGGCATTAGCCTCCCATGATGCACTTTCCTCCCTTCCTCCCTGAAATCAACGGCAAACAAACCAAGCCTTTTTTGCGCCTTTTTTCCTAAGGGTGGGTTACCCGCGCAGACACTATAGCACGGCAAGCATGGACCCCGCTCAGCTGTACACTGTTGTTGTGATCATTACAAACACCTCACACCTGATGCTGCGGTATTTGCTCAGCCAAAGAAGGAGATGCCAGGCGGAACAATGTGATGCCACATAAGCAGCCCTGCTGGAGGCCATGGAGTGGAGCAATTTGCAGATCCTGGCGACAGTCCTGCTCACACACCACCTTGACATGGTAGAGTGCTGCTTCTGAGCCCAGGAAACAAGCACTGACTGGTGGGATTGCATAGTTATGCAGCTATAGGATGACAAGAAGTGGCTGCAGAACTTTTGAATGTATAAGGCCACTTTCATGGAACTGTGTGAAGAGCTGTCCCCAGCCCTGAAATGCAGCAATAGTAAAATGAGAGCTGCTCTGACAGTTAAGAAGCGAGTGGTGATAGCTCTGTGGAATCTTGCAATGCCAGACTGCTACCGGTCAGTGGAGAATCAATTCGGAGTGTGTAAATCTACCTTGGGGTATGCTGTGATCCAAGTTGCCAGGGCAATCAATAGACTTCTGCTAAGAAAGGTAATGATTCTGGGAAACGTGCAGAACATAGTGGATGGTTTTGCCACGATGGGGTTCCCTAACTGTGGGGGGCGATACACAGAACGCATATCCCTATCTTGGCACCAGACCATCTTGCCAAAGAGTACATAAACTGAAAGGGGTATTTCTCATTGGTGTTGCAAGCGCTGGTGGATCACAGGGGCCTTTTCACTGACATCAACGTGGGATTGTCGGGAAAGGTGCATGATGCGCACATCTTTAAGAACTCTGGTCTGTTCAGAAAGCTGCAAGCAGGAACTTTGTTTCCAGACTACAGAATAACCACTGATGATGTTGAAATGCCAATCGTGATCCTGGGAGACCTAGCCTACCTCTTTCTCCCATGGCTCATGAAGCGGTACACAGGCATCCTGAACAACAGTAAGGAGCAGTTCAACCATAGGCTGAGCAAGTGCAGAATGGTGGTGGAATGTGCCTTTGGACGTTTAAAAGCCGGCTGGCATAGTTAGCTTACTAGGTTAGACCTCAGTTAAAGCAATATCCCCATTGTTGTTGCTGCATGCAGTGTGCTCCATAATATCTGTGAAACAAAGGGAGAAGAGTTTCTGGTGGGGTGGGAGGTTGAGGCAGATCGCCTGGCATCCAATTTTGAGCAGCCAGACACCAGGGCAATAAGAAGAGCACATTGAGGCATGGTGTGTCTCCGTGAGGCTTTGAAAACTAGTTTAATCAATGACCCACAGTAATGCAACACTTGTGTAGTGTTCCTTGCCAAACTGTCCCCTTCATTGCATGTACTCCCCTGTAAACTACACCCCTGCTATCCACAATGTGCTGAATGAATAAAGAGCCTTTTTTCCTCAATCCATCAATTTTTATTATGCTCACAAACACTGAGAGACAGCAAAGAAAAGTAAGATAACCTGGGGCTAAAGGGCTGATAACACTGGGGGAGAGGGGAACAAGGACAGCTTGCTTACAATTGCACTGCAATAACATCAAAGGGAATGGGAATGGGTGCCTTCTGGTCCTTGTACCCTCCCCTGGAGTTGAGTGCAAGGGATACCGGACTCTCTCCTCCCCCCCCCCCCCCATCCTAGGAAGTCTGGGAGAGGAGGATGTGGAACTTGGCGACGATGACAGCAGGTTCAGCATAGGCTGCAGTGGGACTCTAAAGTCCAGATGCCTTTCTTGAACCTCAACCAGATGCCTCAATATGTCTGTTTGCTTCATCATAATCCACACCATCTCATCTTGCTTGTCTGACTTATGTTCCCTGCATGCTCTCGTGTCCTCACGGTCATTATGCAGGCTCTCCAACAGTGCAATCCTCCATGTGCTGAGCTCCATCTTGTCATTCTTGGGGGCACACATTAGCTCATTGAACATATCCTCCTGAGTCTTCTTTTTCTGCTGTGACAGGGCAAGGCCAGATGCCTATAGGAAAGTAGTGGGAGACAGATATATTAGCCCCAGGCTAAACAGATCCCTGTTAGCAGGGTAAGCAAATGGCAGTTGCTCCAGGTCAATTAAGACATCTGGGGCCAATTAAGATCCTTCCAGAAAGCAGTGAAGACAGCTAGGTTGATTGGGACACCTGAAGCCAATCAAGGGCTGTCTGAAACTAGTTAAAAGCCTCCCAGTTAGCCAGGTGGGTGCGTGTGTAAGGAGCGGTAGGAGGAAGTCACACTGCTGGAGAAACTAGGCAGTACAAACCCTATCCAGCACAGGGGAGGAGGCCTTGAGGTAAGGGTGAAGTAGATGGTGAGGAAGTGTAGGGGGGCTGCTGCGGGGAAGTGGCCCAGGGAATTGTACCCGTTCTGTTTCAAAGTCAGCTACCAAGGGTTGCTGCTATTAGGGTCCCTGAGCTGGAACCTGGAGTAGAGGGCGGGCCCGGGTTCCCCCCACTCTCCCCCATTAATCACAGAGACTGTGAAGCAACAGAGCCTGTGCAAGGGAGAGTTGCTTCTTCCTACCTCTGTTGCTGGCTTATGATGAAAATGGCTCAGTAGGCTGTGACCCTTGCCCCTTGAGAAAAAAGGGCTACGTGGAAGGTGTCTGAGTCTAGCATAATCAGCCTGGAAGTGTGGGACCCAGTGAGACAAGGTAGGAGCTCTGCCACACCGCCTTTTAATCTGGGAAAGTCTCTGTCCCGGTGTGGAAGATGCGCCTATGGATAAAGTTTCAGCTGCAAAGAATACAAAGCACAAGGGTAGCATTGACAATGCATACATTGTTTCTGGTGCAAGGTTAAATCTTTTTTATAAAAGAAATACCCCTCAATGCACTTCCATGCAAGCCATAACGTAAGCAGAACCGCTGGCTACTGCAAGAGTCTGTTTGCTGCTTCAGCCAGGGTGAGTAAAGCCACGAGACATAGGCGAGAGGTCTTGTGCTGCAGTTTTTGTTAAGACATCCTTGGATCAATGGTTCTGACCTCAGCACAGCTCCCTTTCCCATAGCAACCTGGATGGTGCTTGAGGACAGGCACCAGTGTAAAACCCAGCAAATAGTTTGATTGATTGTTATACCAGGTTGAGGTAGAAGGGAGATGAACAGGAAGTGACGCCCACCCCACCCTTTTAAAATGCTGGCTGCAATACAGGGTGATCCCTTCCAGCCACAACCAGGGCATGCTTGGGAAAGCGTGATTGTGTGACCCAAAATTCACCAAATGGGGTGGATTACCTGTTGAATTGCTTGTGGTTTAAGGGCTAGCATCTAAAACTCCCCCCATTTCTCCTACGTGACCATATGCGATATGACTCTCCGAGGGTAACAGAGTTGGAAACATAAGGGAGCAGATGCTGCAAGCATCTGGGTACAGGCCTGGTCCTTATCCTGCAATGCTGAGTGCTGCAATGATGGCAGAAGAGTTAATATTGGAGTGGCATGGGAAAGTGTCCTACCGTGGTGGATGAAATAAGGCAGCCCTTCCCAGAAACCTTCTGCAGAGTACCTCCATAAAAGCTTCCTAGAGATCTTCATGGAGGATTTCCAGGCCATCCCTGGGCATATAAACAGTCTTTTTCAGAGAGCACCCTCTGTGTAGCTGGAGTGGCTGCTGATAACCACTATCCCAATGTTTTTATTGAAACTCAACATTAAAAATAATACCATGTAACTCCTACAGTTTGATTGAAAATGTGTACTCACCAGAGGTGGCTTCCCCAGCCTCACGCTCCTTCGATAACACTGGTCTACAATTTTTGAGAAGTCGTCTGCTTCAGAGATAAAATG